TTTATGACTTTTCTTTTTCTTTAGCTTTTCCAAAAGTTTTGCCTCTTGTTGCTTAATCTTGTGTATTTCCTCCTCAAGAGCAACAAGTTGTACTTCTCTTTCAATCTTTTCTTTTTCTTTAAGAAGTACATCTTGTTTCCTCCAAAGTTTTAGTGATTCAACCTCCTTAACAATTTGAGAAAAACTTTTAGGAGATTCTAAATCACTATCACCTTGAGATGGATTACTCATGATTAAGCAAAGAGATTTTATATGCTATGCAAAACGAAATTTTTTTTTTTATCTTTTCTAGGAATAAGACTAGCACTTGGAGATCTAAGTGTACAAATTGCACTATCAAGGGAGGTGAGCTACTAAGAGCCACTTAATAACCAAGCCTTTTCAAGTAGAAATCACTAAACCTCCTTATGGTAATCTCAATTCCACAAAACTTTTCACAAATGTTTAAAGATTTATGATTTTCACAATTGTTTTTGAATTCAACTAAACGTGAACAACTTAAAAACTACACATTCTAGTCGAATTAACAAAGTAAAACAAGCAAACCAATTGAAACAAATCAAAGGAGCAAATGTCAAGCAACTAGTCGGATTTCCCTAAGTGGAAGCTTGAAACATATGAAATTTTTAAGCCACTTCCACTAGATCTACACGTGAGTGATCTATAAAGGATTAGATATACCTGACCAGCTTCTTAATACTCCTTCCAAGCTATTACAATTTGATTGAATTTAAAGAAATTGCAAGAAAATTAAACTAGCCTAAAACAGAATTTTGTGACGGATTTGGAGACCACTTTAGTGACGGATTTGACAACCAATTTTCCAGCAATAGTTTTATTGCTTCAATCCGCCACTTTCCTTGATCTTTTGATGCTTTTAGAACCTGCACAATCAACATAAAAAATTGGTGAAAGTAGGTTGCTCACAATGATGATAGGAAGGATCACTCTTGTGAAGGAAAATTTAGAAGTCTAGGTCACTAGTGTATGTCAAATTTTAAGTCCTTTGGCCTTAGGTCTAGCAACAATCCTCTCCTACTCTTGTTGAGTCAATGTTTGATTCTTTAGCAAGTATTTAAGGCAACTTCCAGCACAGAAAAATTTCAAAGAAAACTTGGACAAGCAATAAAAGCACAATTTGTAAAGCTTGTACCAAAATTTGAAGAAGCAAGTGTTTATGACAAGACTCAAAGATAGCCAAGGAATTAAAACTGAAAATGAAGACTCCAATATAAGCTAGCACTCAAAAGTAAAGTATTAAAAAGGATCTAGAATTGATTAAGAAAACCAAAAAGAATTAGAACAAACACCAAAGAATTTAAATCAAAACTAGTAGATCATTCACTTGAAATTTTGTTTACTTTTCTCTTCTCGGCTTTTTCTTTTGTTTTTGTTTTCTCTCTTTCTTTTTTTTTTTATCTTTTGTTTTTATGGATTTAAATTGTATTTCCAGAGAAGATGATTTGCCTTTTAACACTAAAATTTCTCAAAGCAAGTGATTACAAACTGGATCTACTAGAATTGAACAATTTTCAAGTGAAAACTCAAGTTCTAGTGCACTAGTTTTAATAATGTGTTTTGGATCCTTTTGTAGTCTTCTTTTCTTTTCTTTTTCTAACTTTTTTTGATGTAATTGATCTGTATTTTCTCTATTTTCAACAATCAATTTTTCCAGAATTTAGATCCAAAACAAATTATGCACTAGAATTAGGTTTATCACTTTAAAACTCAAAGTAACAATGATTGAATCAAAATTTTCAATGGAATATAAAATTTGAAAACTCTTTAACACAATGGAAACCTAACTCTAAGATTTCACCAATGATCTAATGATGAACATGAACTCAATGATGTAAAGAGAAAAGCACACAAGCAAAGCACATAAACAAGAATGAGTCTTGGCCAAACTCAAGTAAAAAATGACATTTTAAGGACTTCACATGACTTGACAAAAATTTAAGATTCAAAAATTGAAATCAACACATGCATATGACTCAAAATTGACCAAACAAAACAATCAAAACATCAAGGACTCAAACAATTAAAAGAATTGGCACAAGTTGATTCCTATGACATTATTGATTGCGGATTGAAAAACAAAGTGCAATCAATACTTGGATCTATGGAAAGATTGATTTCATAAAATTATAGATCCCAGAAGGAAACTCAATTGTGACAAATTTAAACACACAAACACAAGATTCCAATCGGTAGAAAAGGAAGTACTTAACTCAAGAGGAAGCCATGCTCATGATACCAAAAATGATGGTGTAGGTTGGAGAAGATGATGAACTTTCTTCCTTGACCTTCACCGAACAACAAGGATCTTCTTCCTTGAGTTTGATCCGATTGAAATGAGGTAGATGAAGAACTTGATGCAAGAAGGAGATGATCCTAGGCTACGGATGGAAGCATCCAAGCTTGAGAATCAAAGGATTGCTCACTCTCAAGTTTAGGAATGGAGGATTTCCTAGAACTAAAGCTAAGCAAGTTTCGGTGTCTTTTGAAGAGAATTTGGCTGAAGAAAAATTCAGAAGTCTCATATAAGTAAAAGTGATTACAAGAAAGAAGGAGTCAAGCTTATATAGGGTCGGCTAAGAAAAAAATTGGCACCAAGGTACAAGCACCACATGTGGCGCCAAGATTTTAATTCAAATTTGAAATTTGAATTCAAATCTCCACTCCCATGTGCATTGCCATAAACCTAGGTGCTAACATGCATCTCAGTTTAATTGAAGAAGCATTTAAGGTTGAATTTAAGTCACACATTTTCAGCCACAAGTGGCGCCATCCATGTGACTCAAATGCAACTTAAATGCATTCCAAATTAAACCTAGTTTAGCCTAATCACCCTAGTTAAGTTTTCCTCCAATATTTCTATTTTAATGACCTAAATACAATGGTCAATCAAATACAATGGAAAGGAAAAATTACAAGAATGAAAATGAGCCCAATATTGGGTATCAAAAGCCCAAAGGCCCATAAAGCCTAAAACTAGGCCCAATAAGCCTAAAGCCCAAACATCCTAATTATCTAAGGTCCATAATACAAGACCAAAACAATATGAAGTCTTGCACTACTAACATGCAATAAAGAGATGGTCAGTCATGTAAAGCCCCAGTGAGTAGCAGCCTAGGCCCACCAAGCCCATTGAGCCCACTAAGCTCTGAAGCAGTCAAATCTTCAAGTAGTCTTCTAGCCATAGCTCTAGTGGTTGGACCCTTGGTCCATGCTCTTCCATCACATACTTCATTGACAATTTCATCTTTGCACTTGCTATATTTAACATATATCAAATCAATACTATGATGTTACAATGTGTTCTAATGATATAGCAAGGTGATGACATAATTCTCATTGAATTTGGTTAACTTCGACATACAACTCTTCGTAGATAGAAACTTCACAATTCAACGCTAGTGATATAAGAAATATTTCATGGTTAATGATTAGTATAAGCACATTTTTAAGCTTATCCATTTGCTAATATCATAACACTTAACATGAAATAATAATTTAAAGAAATTGTATGCACTCTTCTACAATATTCTAAAATTGTTGGATGCCCTATGTGCCTTTATTAATTTTCAAATGTCAAGCAAGGTATGTTTATTTTAGGCGAGATCTCAATCTTGAATTTGCCATATATATAATTTCATGGTATATAGTGGTGACATGATAGCATCCAACACAACTTATTGTTATAAAACATTTATTCCTTCACACTATAAATCATTAATATTGAGACAAACCAATAATAAGATAATCATCTAGGCAAAGCAAGTAAAAGAATGAAGTACCTGATATGAAAACACTTGCGAAATTGAGAAATGGAATTCTTGCCCAATTTTTGTTGAAAGTATTTCACTATATTCAAACACTTTATATCCTTTTCCATTATCTAATAAAGTCATGGTCATTATATTTTGCCTTCCTTATGCAATTGTTCCTGTATTTTGTCTTAGGCATCAAGGCAAAACAATATAAGCATATATTAAGAGATAAATTGAGTAAAATGATCATAATGAATTAATTAAAGAGTTTATCACTTAATTGGTTATCATGTCCAAGTCATGAGAGAATCTTATGATCTAAAAGAGGAAGAACGAAAGGATCCACAACAGCGCAATCAAACCAGTAATCCCAGCCCAATTGAATAGAAATACATAAGCCCATATTGTACAGTTTTTACCTTTTCCTGATACAGCTGTATATTCTGTTAGGTAGTACATTCTGTATTGTATTTAGGTGTTCCAACACCTCACCCTCTGCTGCAATTTTCTGTTATTCTTTTTTGTCCCTTCATAGGCAATGGGTTGTATATAAATATACTGCTTTGCTTTCATGAATATACAAAGAGAAGAAATCATTTTCTCAATCATTGATTCACAACCTTTGTCTACCATTTGTTTTGCTCTCTTTTATGGTATCAGAGCTCCAAATCTTGGAGCCCTGCTAATACCTTCCCTTCTTCATCATGTCTGAAGTTCACTCTGAAACTGAAACCACCTCCAATGGTGGTAATGTAGATCCTAGTCTTCCAGCCCATTTCACATTCATCGTAGTGGGTCCAGTTCCGTTACCATTACCCCTATTCTCACGACTCAAACTACCATTCCTGGTCCCATACCATCCGTATAGCCTTAATCTCTAAAAACAAGATGGGTTTTCTCGGAGATTCTAAATCACTATCACCTTGAGATGGATTACTCATGATTAAGCAAAGAGATTTTATATGCTATGCAAAACGAAATTTTTTTTTTTATCTTTTCTAGGAATAAGACTAGCACTTGGAGATCTAAGTGTGTTCGTTTTGAGTCTAAGCCCTCACGATTTTATTTTTGGTCATTACTCAAAAGACCTCTCGATCATTGAAGTATGTTTGTATTATATAAGTTATTATTTCTTGTCTTATTTTATCGATGTGGGATTTGTTTGTATCCCAACATATTTTAATAATTGTTTTTGTATAATATGAAATATCTATGGTTCAAAAGTTACATAGTGTTTCTCTTTTGAAACTAGAGATACTATTTCTCCACTGCAAAAGAAGTGATGCGCATGAATGGCACAACAAAGTCCTTTGTAGCTAATCATGTAGCTGAAACTACTGCTGGAGTTGTGACAATAAGAGCCTTTGAAGAAGAAGATCGTTTCTTTGAGAAGAATCTTGATTTAATTGACATCAATGCTAGTCCTTTCTTCCATAGTTTTGCCTCAAATGAGTGGCTGATCCAAAGATTAGAAATAGTTAGTGCAGTACTTCTTGCCTCCACAGCACTATGCATGGTTATGCTTCCACCTGGGACTTTTGCCTCTGGTGAGACTTTGGTCATTGTTACATGTGAAATGCATGACTTTGAGCATTACAATTATCTTCAAATTATTTGCTTTTATCGTCAAACAGTGCCATTATATCTCTTGATGGAAGATTCTTAATTTTTAATCCTTTGTTCTAGGATTCATTGGCATGGCTCTCTCTTATGGCCTTACTAAATGCTCAGCTAGTATTTTCAATTCAAAGTCAATGCAATCTTGCAAATTACATAATCTCTGTAGAGAGGCTGAATCAATATATGCATATACCAAGTGAGGCACAAGAAGTAATTGAAGGAAATCGTCCACCTTCGAATTGGCCAGACGTTGGTAAAGTAGAACTAAATGACTTGCAGGTAATTATTTAAAAGGTTTATTGCAATTTTTGCTATCCAACCACTATTTTGTGAATTTTACCACTCCACTTTTAAATCGCACATTTTGCTGCTCAACTTTCAAATTTTCGGCCATTCTGTCATGCGACTCATGCCTTTAATTAACCATCTATTGCTGCTCAACTATTAAGGTGAAATATTGACTGTTGACATGATATATTAATAGTTGATATGTGTCATTAACTATTGATGTGACACTGATACATTATGTCATGTCATCTTTTATATGCTACATCAACGATTCACTTAATCAATTAACATGTTATGTCAATCAATGTGTCACACCAATATTCAATTAATAACATTAGATGGTCAACTAATAGAAAGGCAAAATGTACGAAATTTTGAATATTGGATTGAAAAATGTGCATTTCAAAAGTTAAGTGATAAAATTTGTAAAATTGTGAAACACGGGTGGCAAAAAGTGCAATTAATCCTATTTAAAATGTATATCATAATGTTGAAAAATGACCTTTCAAATGAACTGCATATTTAATTTGGCTGTTTATTCCAAGACAGATACGATACAGGCCCGATCTGTACAAATTGCACTATCAAGGGAGGTGAGCTACTAAGAGCCACTTAATAACCAAGCCTTTTCAAGTAGAAATCACTAAACCTCCTTATGGTAATCTCAATTCCACAAAACTTTTCACAAATGTTTAAAGATTTATGATTTTCACAATTGTTTTTGAATTCAACTAAACGTGAACAACTTAAAAACTACACATTCTAGTCGAATTAACAAAGTAAAACAAGCAAACCAATTGAAACAAATCAAAGGAGCAAATGTCAAGCAACTAGTCGGATTTCCCTAAGTGGAAGCTTGAAACATATGAAATTTTTAAGCCACTTCCACTAGATCTACACGTGAGTGATCTATAAAGGATTAGATATACCTGACCAGCTTCTTAATACTCCTTCCAAGCTATTACAATTTGATTGAATTTAAAGAAATTGCAAGAAAATTAAACTAGCCTAAAACAGAATTTTGTGACGGATTTGGAGACCACTTTAGTGACGGATTTGACAACCAATTTTCCAGCAATAGTTTTATTGCTTCAATCCGCCACTTTCCTTGATCTTTTGATGCTTTTAGAACCTGCACAATCAACATAAAAAATTGGTGAAAGTAGGTTGCTCACAATGATGATAGGAAGGATCACTCTTGTGAAGGAAAATTTAGAAGTCTAGGTCACTAGTGTATGTCAAATTTTAAGTCCTTTGGCCTTAGGTCTAGCAACAATCCTCTCCTACTCTTGTTGAGTCAATGTTTGATTCTTTAGCAAGTATTTAAGGCAACTTCCAGCACAGAAAAATTTCAAAGAAAACTTGGACAAGCAATAAAAGCACAATTTGTAAAGCTTGTACCAAAATTTGAAGAAGCAAGTGTTTATGACAAGACTCAAAGATAGCCAAGGAATTAAAACTGAAAATGAAGACTCCAATATAAGCTAGCACTCAAAAGTAAAGTATTAAAAAGGATCTAGAATTGATTAAGAAAACCAAAAAGAATTAGAACAAACACCAAAGAATTTAAATCAAAACTAGTAGATCATTCACTTGAAATTTTGTTTACTTTTCTCTTCTCGGCTTTTTCTTTTGTTTTTGTTTTCTCTCTTTCTTTTTTTTTTTATCTTTTGTTTTTATGGATTTAAATTGTATTTCCAGAGAAGATGATTTGCCTTTTAACACTAAAATTTCTCAAAGCAAGTGATTACAAACTGGATCTACTAGAATTGAACAATTTTCAAGTGAAAACTCAAGTTCTAGTGCACTAGTTTTAATAATGTGTTTTGGATCCTTTTGTAGTCTTCTTTTCTTTTCTTTTTCTAACTTTTTTTGATGTAATTGATCTGTATTTTCTCTATTTTCAACAATCAATTTTTCCAGAATTTAGATCCAAAACAAATTATGCACTAGAATTAGGTTTATCACTTTAAAACTCAAAGTAACAATGATTGAATCAAAATTTTCAATGGAATATAAAATTTGAAAACTCTTTAACACAATGGAAACCTAACTCTAAGATTTCACCAATTTTAGAACCTGCACAATCAACATAAAAAATTGGTGAAAGTAGGTTGCTCACAATGATGATAGGAAGGATCACTCTTGTGAAGGAAAATTTAGAAGTCTAGGTCACTAGTGTATGTCAAATTTTAAGTCCTTTGGCCTTAGGTCTAGCAACAAATTGGAAGATTTTGTCTTAGGCAAGTCCTTACTAATGAAATGGTTTATAATCGTCGGATTATGAGATTCACATTGCAATACGCTATTCGCTACTTCTAGATGTGTGATGTAACTATCAAATATACAATCATATTTGTCGACTTCAATTTTAAACCGTACTCGTTAAGGATCTAAATTCATTTCGGTCAGAGTTGTGCAATAAGAAAATGTTAAGAACAGTACCATTAGAATCATTTGAATTGAAGAGTTAAGTGACCCTTAAAAGAACCTTAGAAATACGTTTCCAAATAAATACAAACTAGACCTTCATTTATGCGTTTATGCTTGCTTTAAATACATGATTAAATTCCACGTGATTTCTTCAAAATTCACACTATACACATGCCTTTTTAAAGCCCATAGGGATACACGTATTTTAATAGATTAAAAACAAAGTTACTGTAGAAAATAAAATGGTAGAGATTATTTTTTGGTAGAAAATAAAATGGTAGAGATTATTTTTTTGGGGAAGTATATATATACTCCTATATCATAAATTAGTATTTACAAATATTAAAGAAAATTATTTTTCTTACTTAATTATAAGATTTTCAATTTGACTCCCTATCTGATAGTTATGAGTTGGTATCTTTTATGTACTATTTGTACTTTTCTAAAAAAAAACTACCTTTTTTACTCTTAAAAAAAGGAAAACAAGTTGTAAAGCAAGATTATACCTATCTTGAGTCTCTCATCTAAACATTATAAACACTTATTTTCTTCTCAAGTATATTTCACACATCGTCTTTGTAATTGGACCAAAAAACATATATATCTTTTGGTTATTCTCTTTTAATTTTATGTCTACGTGATTTTTTTAATTGGTTATCCAATTCAATTTTTTAAAATATTTTATTGATACGAGGTATTCATCATCACAAACACTAACTAATTTCTATTGAAAATTATGAACATACATAAAGTGAAAATTCTCTTTTTAATATAATTCAATTCAATGTAAAAATGCTTTTACTACAACTTTAATTATTTATTATAAATCTAAAATATAATTTATATATTAATATTAAAATTGATAAATATAAAAATAAATATGACTTATATATTTTTAATCCCTTAAATTTAATATAAATTTAATTTTAATATCTCAAATTTAATTTTAATCTCTTTAATTTTTGTAATTTTTTAAAAAATCTTATTTTAGTTCTTATATTCAAATTTTATTAAGAAATTTGTCAAATATTATTACATAAAATATATTTATCTCTATTAATAAAACATCACATTTTATATTGCATAACTATCTCAATTTATAAATATGTTATTAATTAATGATTTAAAGAACTAAAATAAAATTTTTAAAAATTAATGAGACTAAAATATAAATTTTAAATTTGAGAGACAAAAATAAAATTATCTTAAACTTGAAGAGTTAAAAATATATTTAACTTAATAAATATTTTTTACTCATGATAAAATATTAGTTACGATGTCTAACTCTCAATTATAATGTACATCCACAAATGGTGATTAAATTAATAATCTTTGAAAGTAATATATTTAATATTTCAAAGTTCTTTACTCCATACTGTTCGAGAACATGCAAGACATGCAAATCAAACTTTTAAATTGATCACTGTAACTGTTCATATACTGTTTGCATTAAATAAGTCATTATGCAAATTTACAAACACCGAAACATTAACTTTTGTTTTTAACTCTTTGTCCTTTGTCCCTGGATTCTCAACCTGTCGCCATCCCCTCACCTTCCGTGAAAACAGTGTTTTTAATATTAAATTGTTTAATATGAACCTAATTTTCGTGCATAGTCAATGCTAAGATTTTTGTACTCACAAACTAATATAAAAATAAGTCTAGATATATATGACTTGTAAAATAATTAATAGAAAAGTTAACAATTTTATCAAACATGGTATGATATAATTCAATAATAGTATTTTTTATATATTGTCGATGTATTTAAATTAAATTATATTCATATTCAATAGTATAATAAATAAAACAATATTTTCATAAATTTAATCAACCTTTTTATATTAAATACCTCTTTTTTGTGTAAGAACTTTTTGAAGAATTTTTCTTCCAATTTTTAAAGATTCTTTTAAGTTTTTATCTAATTTAATTAGTTGTTTATAATAATTATTTATAAATTAAATTTTAATATTTTTAAAAAAATTATCAATAAATAAAAATAATATTGTTTCATAATATAAATTATTTATCATAATCAAAAATATAATTTATATGTTTAAAAATATTTAATTTATACAAATTTTAAATATAATTTATATAACAGTATTTATTGGTATATATAACTGAGGCTTAAATGAATTTTTGGTTTCTCATATATAATGTTGTAACACCCGGTTTTCATACCTTATATTAATAATATTTTAGAAATTATTTTCGTATATTAATATATTTATTTTAGAGTTTTAATATTATTTAATTAATTATATGATATCTATTTTATTTATGAAACATGATTTATTATTATTATTTTTAATTAGTGAAGCACGAGACATTTTATAAAATGTATTTTATTAATATGTATGCTTATGTTTATGTTGATTATTAAAGAGAGAGTATATTTTAATTATTATTTATTTTTATGAGAAGAGAAGGAGGGACGTGGAGGTCTTTTGATATTTATTATTAATATTTATTTTATTAATTGAGAAAAAAAAGGGTTAAGAGAAGTTATCAGAGGTTACCAAATCATTTCATATATTCACTTCTTCCTGACTCATTACCTCACTTGGGGGTGTGAGAATAATTGTTGAGTAGCAGGATTGACCCCCAATCCCTTACATGATGCATGCTCTAGGAACAGACAGATTATGAAAGTTTTTTGTTTTAATATCTGAGTTTTTTGTTGGGTTTTTGGTTGGATGTCATGCATGAATATGTGTTTGATTTTGAAATTAGATAAGTTTTGATATGAATTAGAGTGCTCTGTAGGTTCCTAGGGAAACCCTATGAGAAATAATTAGGAGTATGATCTTTTGACAAGATTTGAGGTAGTTTACATAAAATTGAATATGGATTCGTGATCTGGGTGTTATTTGAAGTGTTTTTACCGATTGAATGCTATAATTACATGTTTGGTTATGACATACGCAAGATTTCACGAAATTAAGTAATGCAGGTTCGCTTTGGGGCACCGATCGTAGTTCTTAGTGTCAGACGCAATGTTTAAGCCGAGCGTAGGAAAGCTTTGTCGAGGGGATTTCTCCACTTTAGGCGCGGTATTTAATTCGCCAGGCGCAAGTTGGGGCATGCCAGGCATGATCCCGATGATGTTTTACATTTTTTATGTATTGTTTGAAGGTGCAAATTGTGTGGGAATTAACTTATTACTATGCTAACGTAAGTGATGTGTTTTATAAGCATGATAAGGACAATAATCTTCAAATGATGATCTTATGAGTATGATTATGAGAAATGTGAAATGTGAACAAGTGACATGAGACATGAAAGTCCTTGACAAGTAAAATGTTGAGTCCATGAGTTTGTGAATGTGTGACATGCATCATATGCATTTATGTGACGGGGTACGATATGTAGTACATTGTTAGGGAAGGCCCTTCAAGTACAAAACATCTTGGAGGAGTCCTAGGGGATAGTGCGGTTTGGAAGGCCCAATTCTATCCGTTTGTGTGCATGAGATGTATCTTGTGCGACTTCGCTATCTCGACGAGACCCTAGCAGTACATTCTTATACTTGAGAGTGCACGGTTGAGCTGGCATGTACTCCTAGACTATTCCAAATATGTTGCTTCGGCAACATAACACGTGATATGTGATTATGAGACATGTGACTGGCGCCACATGCATGCACTACTAGAAAAACACTGTTTAACATCGCTATATCTACATCGATTCCAATAGAAACAATGTAAATAAGAAACATGGTGATAGTTTTGTAAATAAATAAAAGATGTAAGCATATTTACATTATTTTTGTTGAAAAATTCTACATCAGTTTTGTCACTGACCGATGTAGAAATGGAATCACAAAATTATATTCTACATCGGGTTTACATCTGACCGATGTAAAAGTGAAGGAAATTTTTTCATACACGCAACTGAACCTTCTCGACACAACAAGCTCTTTTAGTGCTGACCTTGGACTCACGAAAACCCTAGTTGTAAGTGTTCCAAATCCACAAACGGTCGTAGCTCTCCGAAAACATGGTGGTGCGCCAAATCCACAAATGCTCTTGGAGGAGCTTTCCGAAAATGTGAGCTCAAAGTCGTAGGTTTTTCTATAAGAAAGAATGGTGGAGGCCCTATCTCTGTCATTGGTCTCCACCCTCATTGGTGCGGACCTTCATCTTTGGTTGGGAGGTTTTGCAAGCGTGCTTCATCTCTTCTAGAAAATCGACGCCATCCCCTTTGGCGGCAGGGGCCTCCGAGGTCGAAGGAGGCGGTGACAGAGGTGCCTAAGGAAGGCGTCTTGAGGAAGGTGGAAATGGTGGTGTGCCAGGAGGTAGGGTTCTCGATGTGCAAGAGGATAAGCTTCATCCTACTTGACCACTGCATGGGAGAGGGAATATTGCAAGCGCCAACAGACTCGCAGGTGGGGTCGGCCACCACCAAGCTCTTACGTGAGTTCATTGACAAAGGAAAAACTAGAAGATTGGTAAGTGCCTTTGTGGTTCCATTTTATTATTCAAAAATAGTTGGCTGGTTTTCAATAATTGCAAATATTTTTATGAATATGTTGCATGCTCATTTCTCATTATGTTTTTACATTTTATCATTGATTTAAAATGGGACTTTGTCTATATGGTGTGGTTAGGTGAGAGGAAAAGGAAAAACGAAAACTTGATTTTGTTTACAAGAGAGATCTATCTTGCTGTTGGCTGCGTAATTAAATCATCAATAGACAAGTAACTCTCAGCTCCACCGAGATCCATCGAACCCAAGTTCACGGAAGAATGAATTTGACATCATCTGAATTGCCTTCTCTTAATGATTCTGCCTGTCTCTCTATAGATATTGCATCTTGGATCTCCTTTTGAAATTCTGAAATTAATGGCTGCATATGCCCATGGGGCTAAACACACATCAATGCTTTCTCTGCTATTTTTCACATTGATTATAGGTCATAGTCATTCCGCAACAAGGGATCGATAATTCCTTGTATAGTCATAGTGATGCCAAATCAAATTGTCATTTTTTTTATGGTGATTGTATATCTACCACATGGTTGTTGGCACAAACATACTGCACATTTCATTTGATAATTTTTTAAAATTAATAAAATAAAAGTAAAAAGAATTAGAAAAAAATTATAATAAAAAATGTTATTAGCCATATTAACTTACTTTTAATGATTTTTCTAAAACTCTCACAAACTTAATTATCTACTAAATGACTTTAGCTATATAATGAAACATTTTAACTTTTTTTTTAAATATAAAATGGAAGGATAAAATTAATCTGTCATTTAAAAAAATGAATAAATAGTATAATATATTAATAAATGGATAAAGATTTACATAAATATTTTACAAACATATAATAAATTATGTTATTTATTAAAAATTTTATTAAAAATAATAAATATTTTACAAACATATAATATATTAAATTTATAATAAATTTTTATCATAACAAAAAAAGTTACCTTATTTATTTTAAAATATTAATATTAATTTAATAAATAATTATGATAAATAAAAATTGAATCAGATAAGAAATTAAGAAAATTTCTACAAATTCTTTCGTTGAAGAAGTCTCTAAATACTCTCTCACACAAATTAAAAATTCTTGTTTAATATGTAGGAATCGATAGTCATGACTTAAAAATAAAATAAAATAACATTACATTACAAAGAGATCATAAAAAAAAAAAAAAAAAAATCAAATCTTCAAGTTTCTTGAAACCACAATTTTACATTACATAACACTAGAAACATCAATACTGTATATCTTACACATTTAACAATCCATGAAGCTTTCATCCCAGATCGAAGCTAATCTGCTACAAACTGCAAATTTTGTAATATTATTCAGATTACATATATTAATCCTGATGGAGAAAAATTGAAGACTAATTTTTAGTAACAAAATAAATAAAACAAAAAATCTTTCCTAGCCATTGGAGTACAAAAATATACATAAGTACTGTAACCATTACAAGGTTTAAAAATTAGAGATATCATCTGAAAACAAGAAAATTTCGCTAAACAGAACACCATCTATAAATCCTTTACAGCAACCAAAGTAATCATTTTTTTTTATTGGAAAAATAGCAGTCATTTGCAAATGCAGGAAGTAAAGAAACAAGGGAGTTGATGAAAGCAAAAATGTATGTGTAATGATGAAGTAAAACAGAACATCTTGGAATCAGCAATAGAATGACTAAGGAATGTAATAAGTAAATTCTAACACTATCAAATTCATGCAAAGATGAACAATTGAAAATTATTCTCCCATTTCACGTCAAAAGGAGTTAATGATTTATATTTTGACTAATAGAGGAGAGAAATTAAGGGAGTTTCGTACCTGCTAGTGCTAGCTTTCCGACCATCTACAACACTTGGCTATATTCAGTTCAACTGTTACAAATACATAGTCTGTCACTCTGTTTAAGAACCTCAGATAAGCAATTCTCCATGGTTTCCAAAGTATTATTGGCCCTAATAATCCCCAAAAGCCTGCAAAGAATCCTAACCCCAAACTCATGTATAATGCTTCATTGAAAACTGAATTATCTTCTTCACCATGGACTGCTGGTTCTTGAGGCTTTGCTGTTGTCTTGTCTCCAGGGCAGCTTTTGTTGAGTGGTTCACCACAAAGTTCAAGATTTCCTTCAAAACTAGAGGCATCAAATGTTTCCAAATGTCCTTCCCATGGGATTCTTCCACTGAGATCATTGTTGGATAAGTCTAACACACCAAGCCTATCAATTTTGGAAAGATTAAATGGAATTTTGCCAGAGAATTTGTTTCTTGACAAGTCCAGAAATTCTAGCCAACTTAAATTCTCGATCTCAGTAGGAATTTCTCCATCTAATTTGTTTCTTGATAGATTCAAAGAAACCAATCCAACTAAATATCCAATCTCTTTTGGTATTGCACCCGTTAAATCATTACTTGAGAGATCAATGCTTTTTAAAAGAAACTCGGGATTCCAAAACACATAATCCTGACCTTTCCACGTGAATAACACGTTAGAGTCGTAAATATCAAGAGATGTATATGAAGATGTTATTTTTCGACCCTTTACAATTTCATATGTTGTTATTTCCCTTTCCCCCAATTCAGTAAAATGCCCCAGACATGTAGGAATTCCTCCCGACAAATTATTCCTTGAAAGGTCCAAGAAATGAATTTGCCTCAAATAACATAGGTTTGCTGGAACACTTCTGAAGAAGCGATTTACTCTCAAGCTCAAGATTATCAATTCTTGAAGATTTTCTCCTATCCACAAGGGTATTGGACCAAACAAAAAGTTTTCACTCACATCTAACATGACTAAATCAGTGCAGTTCTTCAATGTGAATGGTAGGCCTCCAGTTAAGCTGTTGTTTCGTAAGACCAAAGCTTGCAAATTAACAAGAGTACCGATGGACTTTGGAATCTTCCCTGACAATTTATTATTGCTTAAATCAAGTAATTCTAATGAATTTTTTAGATGTTTCCAACAGTTGGGCAGTTGTCCCGTTATTTGATTATTTGATAAATCCAAAGTAAGCATTGCTGTGGTTGCGCTTTTCGTGCACAAGAATGAATTTAAATCCGAAATCTTATTTTTGGATAGATCCAATGCAGAAGCTTGTGTTAAAAAAGTTGGAATTTCACCTTCAAGTTGATTTGATCCTAGACTTATAGCATTATAATCATTAGTAAGCTTGATTGGCAAATTCGGAATCGTACCTTTGAGACTGTTGCAAGACATATTCAGCCCAATTATATGCTGTAACTTGCTCCAAAACCACTCTGGTACAAAATCATCAATCCCAGCATCAGAAATATCTACATACCATAAGTATCTTTGAGTGTGGAGCCAATTTGGGAATCTAGGACCCAACTTGCAAGAACCTAATCCCAAACGAAATAATTGGAAAGGTGGAACCCAGGTTGTATCAAACTTTACAGACAACGAGCTATCTGTTAAATCTAACAACACCAATTTGGACATATTTGTTACATGCAATTCATTGATATCACCCTCAAAGTGATTCCCCCCCAAGCGAAGAGACACCAGCTCATTAAGAAACCCAATGCTTTGTGGTATTTCTCCAGTAAACTGGTTAATGGAAAGATCTAACATCCTCAAAGATCTAAAAGTTGAAAGATTTGGTAGCATTCCAGTAATCTGGTTATAAGATAGATCGAGAGTCTGAAATACGTGTCTATTGCACTGTGAAGAATTTTGAATGATGTTAGAAATTTCTCCACTCAAGTTGTTTCTGTTTAGGTATAATTCCTTCAATGTGAATATATTCCAAAGAGAAGCTGGAATCTCACCTTGCAGTTTGTTAGTTTCAAGGTGAAGAACTTCAAGAGACTTCATTACTTTCCCAAATTCATCTGGAATGAGACCTTCTAACCAGTTTTCATTAAGGTAAAGGCTACGAAGATTGGAGGTAAAGTTGAAAATCCAGTTAAATATAGCGGATGATTTCAGTGAATTATAGGAAAGGACAAGGGTGACAAGTGAAGATGAAGAACTTTTATTGGAAGCAGATGACACGAGAAAACTTTTATCAGTAAGACAACATCCATGTAGATAAAGTTCTCGTAGTTTGGAGCTGAAGTTGAAATTTCCTTCAAATATTGACGATGTCATATTATTTTCAGAGAGATCAAGGATCACTAGAGAGGGAAAGTTTGGATAGAAAGAAGATGACAAAACAATATCATTACCAGAAAGATATAGTTGTCGGAGATTAAGGCTATAGTTGAACAACAATTGAAATGTTGATGATGTGAGCATATTATCAGAGAGGTCAAGGATGGAAAGAGAAGTGGAAAGGTTGGAATGAGAAGGAAACAAAAATGAAATATCCTCATCTGTAAGACTACAATCAACTAGCTTCAACTCTGTTAAGTTTGGAATAGTCTCACGGATCATTTGTTTCCAAGAATGAGAGGAGTCAAGATCATAAAATGATTCCAGGCCAAGAGTTGTTAATGAAGAGAGAGAAGATAGCCACTTTGCACCATTAATTTTAAGATTCAAATTATAGCCAAGTATAAGAGTATGCAAGATAGGAAGATTCCCAACTTGAAAAGGGATTGCTCCAGAAAATGAATTTCCTGAAAGATCAAGATACTTAAACTTTGAGAGATTTCCAAGTTCAGAAGGCGCTTGTCCATCTAGACCATTGGAACTTAGATCAAGATACTCTAACTTTGAGAGATTCCCCAGTTCATAAGGAATCCTCCCATATAAGAAACCCAACGATGATAAATTGAGATACCTTAAGTTAGTGAAGGAGCCCATGAGTTGCTGATCACGGAAACTCCACATAAAATTATTATAGCTGAGATCCACGCGTTCAATTTTTTGTAAGTGAATCAATGAAGTGATATTCATTGTACCTGTCAAATAATACGTTTCTGAACCACGAAGATGAAGCTCGTGTACCTGACCTGTTTCATTGTTGCAATGAATGCCTTTCCATGTGCAACAATCTCTGTTATCTTCATCTTCCGTCCACGTAGACAGCATGCCAGACTCATTTCGGAGGCCATGTTTGAAGCTGAGGAGTGCTTGTCTCTCTTTTTCAATGCATTTGACATGTGATGGAGAGCTGAATCCATGAATGGATTGTTGAGTATGCCAAATGCACACTAACATTGCAAACAGCGTTTTCAGAAAGTAATTGCCCATTATGAGAAAGAGCAATAGCTAAGAATTATGATTTGTGGTGTGCATTCAAAACAGAGCAACAAGACTTAATTAGTACTAGTTGCTAATTGCTATGCTTCTTCGGCTTAATTTCTATGCCTTTATCTATGAAAATGACGCATATTTCTTTATCACCTTTTTATATTTTAAATCGGTATAAGAAGCAATAAGAACATTTTAAATGTAAAAAGTCCTTAATTACAATGAAACTTTAATGGATAAATATATTTATACAGAATTTTTAAATATTTATTGATACTATTACTTTATTTTCAACAACTAAAACAGATTGAAAATAGTTTTCTTATTAAAGTATAAGATATTTTCATAATCTAAAATATAACTTATTTGTTCAAGATGAGAATAGTTATATGTCTAAAAATATTTATTCAATCCAATATTTTAATTATAAAATAGTTTATATTTTCAGAAATATTTATTTATTGTAAATTATGTAAAATAAAAAAATATCATATATTATACATGTTTAATAATAATTTAATAAAATCTTGAAGAATTGTTGTTGAAAGAGATTGTACCCATTTCGCGTTGCTTATTTTTATCGCCGTATTTTTCAATGACTATAGGTTCAAGGAAAATGATGGTGGAAAAGCTAGATATTCATTTTTGAAAATCTAGCTTATGCCATTAGTAAAAAAATAAATTAACTTAGGGTTGAATTGAAAATGAAATTTTTGAAAAGTCAGTAAAAGTGAATTTCAAATTAACTGATGAATAATTTTTCTTTATATAAAAGTTATTTTGTTTTTCTCTCTTAAAGTTCTTTGTGAAGAAATTTACTTAAAGAAATCATTTGTCCCTCTCTTAATGTTCCATTAATGGATGACTTTAGACTCCTGGCTTAGTATTCTACCCCGCGAAGCATGTTACATAGTTTTCTACACATTCCTCAAAGCAAGCTTCAAAACCGAAAAGCTAAATATTCATTTACATATTGCGAATATTGATAAATCAACACTTGACATAGGTTATTATCATCAATATTGAGAGGTTTCATTTTCTCTCTACTATATGAATATGAGTGAAGCAAATTATACACGTCAAACTTCAATAGGAATTAGATGTATTGAATAATATATAAATGAAAAAGATAAATTCACAAATTTCAAGTCATGATGTGATGTTAAACTAAATTTCCCAATTTCTAGCCCCAAAACACAAGCTCTCCCATGCATTCACATCAATTTCACCTAAAGAGCAATATGTTGATGCACAAAGCCATAGGCAACAAGTCGTGGTCTTGGTTGACTGACTATTGGTTCATCCACTAACTAAATTTTGAAAGAAATTTCAGAGACTCATGGTAGAAAAACTATTCAGTCTTCTCCTTCATTGTTATTTTCCACACTACTTGGACTACTTGACGGATATATTAGCTAATCACTGTCGAGTTTAAAATTTATAAACCAAATAGAGAGATAAATGCCACAAAATATCAAAATTAAAAGGTACTGCGCATTTGAATTTATTAACACAATTTTATCATTTTATCATTTTTTATGACCGGTAAACATTACTTTCACTATTTTAATTTAAGCTTTACAATTTATTTACATTTACTAATATATTTTACAATGTTTTGTTATGACAACATTAATTAGAAATGGGATGGGCTCGACTCATTTAAAAAAAAAATTATGCAAAGTGTTTGCTTTTTTATACTATATATAATAATATTAAAATTTATTAACAAGTTTAGTAATTTTATATTTGAAGTTGTTTTTTCTACTCCACGTGAACTTGTTATTTTGGACACATGTTCTATTAACTAAGTATTTAAAATCTAAAATAAAAGAACACGTTTTGGTCCTTAAGTATCTATATTAGATTTAGTTGGTTCTTTTGTCAATTTTTTCACTAATTTGTCCATTTAGTAATACGTAAGAAGTTGTGAGAAACTGAGAATGTCACATGATTTGTAACTAATACTGTTGGTGCAAAGTCACAACTCCTGGTTTATCATAATTCGATATAGGTAGTCTTTTCTGAGATGCTCAGACATATCCTACAAAGCAACACATGCGATACTTTTTACCATGTTTTATCTTCATTGTATTTTTTTTGAAAAACTTCCAAGAAGGAGACTCATCCCTAAATTATTTTAGGTCAAATACACTTAACTATGAAAGATTTTTTTTTAATTGTGATGAGATATCGAAAAGTAGATGCATCTTATTAATCAGTATATGCATTATAATTTTTTCCCTTTAAATAATCATCAACTATACAATCTCACACATGTACAAATCACTATATCCTTATCATTATGGTGTGTTTGGATTGTTGCACAAAAAATTAATGGAAGAACTAATTTTACCAATAAAAATATTCTAAGGAAATAAAGTTAACTTTTTAAACTTAAGATATCAAACTGAAACCTAATATAAATTAAAAATAAAGGACCAAAATTTTATTTTAACAAACAAATTTGCGTCTACTATACCAAGGGACATTATTATTATTTTTGTGTTTAGTATGCATATATTTATATATCTACATATAAAATAAAGATGACACCATAGTGCCAAATTGGTGAAATGATATTCAATAATTTTTTATAAAATGAAGATTTAACTGATTCAACTATTGTATTTGAGGATATTACACTCATGATCATATATTTTGAATTTCAAATGATTTGGACTCTTCTAAATTTGTTATTTAACAATAGTTATTTACATGTATTTTTAATATCATTTTATACGTAAAATAAAGTGATATGATAAATTACCAAATAAATTTATAATTGTATGCAATTTTGTATACTATCCAATTAGTAAAAGATCAAATACAATACTTATATTGGTTGAATTTATATTTTATGAAAAATTATTGAAAAATGGTATATAAGGTATTACAATAGTTATATTCTATATAGATCAAATAAAATAGTTATATTCTATATACGGTATCGCATTTGAAAAATGGTTTATATATATATATATATACGAATTGTAATATATAGACATACAAAAAGGCTAACAAGAGTGGTGAGGCTTGTGCCCATGTACATGGACCAAGTGGGTTTATTGTATTGCAAAATAGTTGATTTGCCCCCTATGCCCGAGATACATGGGCTTCTCACAAATTTTAAGGTCATTTTTAATATTATTTTTAAATAATTTAAAAAATTAAGGGTCTTCAAGAGAGTAACGATTTTATTGTATTGCAAAATAGTTGATGTCCCTCTTCTCTCTCTTGTATATCTCTCTCTTTTTCGCTCTAGGTTCTAAATTTTTTTCTTGTTAATTTTGTAGTATCATAGGAGACTTGTATAGATATTGTGAATAAATCCTTTAAAACGATGTTTAGTACACTGTAGGAAATTTATTTGTGAGCTATTTTTACTATAATCTAAAGGACTTATCATGGCTAACAACATGATCCCCAACCCACCCGCTACTCCTTCTCACACTACTTGGATGTATGTCGAGCCTTTGCATGGTGCCTCCAAAATTAAAGTCTTTTTTGGTCAAAACTTTCGTCCCTAACAAGAATGTGTTCTTATGTTACTTGACATGCATGGAGTTATGTTCACCCTTACCGCTCCAAAACCATTTTATGAGGCAACAATAAATATAGATTCAAGATTAGAATCAAGCCAATAAGGTATGTTGTCACACTTTATTGAGTACGTTGTTTAATGATTTGTTTGATGTGTACTACTCCTATAAGGAAAACAAA